TAAGATCGTTCTGATTGAGGACTTTCACATCTGAAGGTTCTCATGAGGTAGTTTCTATGTGAAGGGGATTGGTTCTCAAACGCGGGAAGTGAAGATTGAGACTACTTGCGGCCCAGGATGAGGAGTGTTTTTGAAGACCATCGGACAGCAATGGGGGAGGAGAATATTGTTGTGAATTAATACATCAAAGGCCTGGAGAATGGCACATCGAGGAATGTTGGGGCCTAGTGCTCTTCACCAATTTCCCATGCGACCCATCGATGCAGGACGCATAAGAGAGTTTAGCAAATGACATCAAGATTGAGGTACCTACCTTGTTGCGGCCTTACACTTAGTGACTTGAACTCGCTCTATCAGTCAATGTTCAAAGATGCTTATGTTTAGAGGAGGAGGAGGGAGGGGAGTTAGGGGGAGGGGGAGGGGAAGGAGATTTATGGAGATGATGACAGCGAGGACGACGACCACGATGATTCTGATATTCCTGTCATTCAGTTGGAACGTCCAACGCCGAAGGATCTGGCAGAGCATGGCTTCTTCTTTGCTCCGCTTCCAGGGTGCGAGGACAGGTGAATAATCAGATGCTTGCTTCTTCCCTTCCTCCATCTTCCTCCTCTCCCCTTTCGGGGAATCCTACCTCTCCCCTCCCATCCCGCTGCTCTCTCCGCTGAACTCTCCTCGCAACTGTCCTCCCGCGTCACTCCTTTGTGTCTCCATCCTCACGGCCTCGATGCAGAGTCGCGTGCTTCGCCTGCGGGAAGGTTTTGTTCAACTGGGACCCCAACGATCAGATTGCAGATGCCCACAAGGTGAAGGAGGAGGAGGAGGAGGAGGAGGAGGAGGAGGGAGATGATAAGGAAGATGAGGAGGAGGAGGAAGGAGGGAGGAAAGGGGGAGGTTAACAATTTGTTTTCAGTTGTTTTCTCCAAACTGTCCCCTGGTGCTGGGGAAACCCGTCGAGATTCCATCTGGTGTGAAGAAGACGGTGAGGCGACAAATTACAAGTTGTCGACTATGTTGGTGAATTTAGGCAGCAGGAGAAGCCAACATGGAAGGTTTTTGAGACCAACAGTGAACAACCAAAGGTCAGTGCTCCTTGGTTTGAATGCGGCAGAGGAGAAGAGCAGGATGCGAGGGATTGGTAGCGGATCAGAGCACGGAAGGCGGGTTGAGGAGGAGGATGAGCACGAGGAGGACGAGGACGAGGACGAGGACGAGGAGTGAGCATTTGATCTCTCCATAGATTTCATCGGAGCCCAACGCCGCAAAACTCTCCAGCTTTGTCGATACGATCCGTCAGGTGAGCATGTGAGAAGCAAGATTGTGACTTGGTGTTGACATGGTTGTCAGGTTGCGAGCAATGTTGAAGCTGATGGAGATCTGGTGAAACGGGTTGGAAAGACAAAGAATGCCAAGAAGAAGAAGGTTCTGCCAAGCAAGCAGCATCAAATGAGTTATTGACATCTCGATCCCTCAAGATTGTCGCTGAAGGAGAATTTCCGAATGCTCACTCGGCCTCGCTTTCGGATGAGAACACGGCCTCAGGTGACTGGATTGACGAACCTGACAACACAAACAACAACAATGATGATGACGATGAGGATGAAGATGAGGATGAGGATGGTGGTGGTGGTGGTGGTGATGATGATGATGACGACGACTATCACAATGAGGAGGAGGAGGGAGGGAGGGAGTAGTGAGGAGGAGGAGGAGGAGGAGGAGGAGGAGAGACAACTTTTCTGACGTGCTGTTTGAGCAGACAACGATGTCAGCAGCGGCATCAACACCAGCGATCAATCTGATCGACAAGCTGCCGCTGCTTCTGGTACCTGAGGACGAGGGTCAACCAGATTTTGACACGTTGAACCTTCAGACGTCAAGATTTCAAAACCAGAGACCAAAATGAGGGGGGAGAGACTGTGGAATTTTGACTGGTGATAGAAATTGCGGATGAGATTTCAAATTCTGAGATGCGATTTGAGGTCCGTGCCTTCGGTGATCAAGGCGGGGCTTTCCAAGGCAGAGCATCACCTTCTTGAGACTCAGGTGAAAGACTTAGATGAGATGATGTGAATGTATGAAGGAAGAGATGAGCCGATGTTGACATGTGACATGTTGTGTTGAGATGTGACATGTTGTGTTGAGATGTGACATGTCATGTTGAGATGTGACATGTCATGTTGAGATGTGACATGTCATGTTGAGATGTGACATGTTGTGTTGAGATGTGACATGTTGTGTTGAGACCTGATGTGTGATATGCTGTGCCGTGCTGCTGAGGTACATGCTGTTGTGATCTATCTCACTTGCTGTTTCTGCTGTGTCTTCGCTTGTTCGACTCTTTGACGCAGTTGGTCAGACGAGCGAGCTTGAGATCAGGTTGGCAACAGCCAAGAAGTTGATGAAAGATCAGCAGGTAGATCCTCCTCTTGCTATTCCCCCCTGCCCTTCCTTAGACCATAACTAGAAGTCACTTTCCCTCCTCGTCCACATCCTCTTTTACGTCGTTATTTCTTCCTCCTCTTCCTCCTGCTCCTCCTCCTGCGCCTTCTTCTGCTGCTCCTCAAGTCTGTTCCAGAATGATTGGATCGATGCGGGTTGCTGTGTACGAAAAACTGCGAGGGTGAGAGGAGAGGAGAGGAGAGGAGCGGAGGCGGGGGAGGGGAGGAGGAGGAGGAGGAGAGGAGAGGAGAGGAGAGGAGAGGAGAGGAGAGGAGGCGGGGAGGAGGAGGGAGGAGGAGGAGGAGGAGGGG